ACCATTGGGGCTATAGCTCCACTTGCAGATTTTTGGTGGATTATTGGAAGCAAGAGTCTCAGGGATGGTCCAACCCTTGCTGGCTTTGAGTCATGATCCTCAGATCTCAGTCTTCTAAGTAACTGGGATTACAGGTGTGAGCTACTGGTTCAATGGTATCTCAAACTATGAGTCCTGTCAAATTATGTTTTATGTATTTTAAAAATCTATTAAGCAACAGCTATGTTTCACGTCCTTACCCTTATTGCTTTTCATTGTGTCTCTTCTTTTAGAATTTATATATTGACTTCTTCTTCTTTTTTTTTTTTTTTGGTAGGTCATGGGGCTTGAACTCTGGGCCTGGGCGCTGTCCCTCAGCTCTTCAGCTCAAGGCGAGCACTCTACCACTTGAGCCACAGCGCCACTTCTGGTTTTCTGAGTGGTTTATTAGAGATAAGAGTTCTAAGAGTTTCACAGACTTTCCTGCTTGGGCTGGCTTTGAACTGCAATCCTCAGATCTCAGCCTCCTAAGTAGCTAGGATTACAGGCATGAGCCACCAGCGCCTGGCTATATTGACTTCTTTACTAACAAAGGACCCAGTGGGGAAGCTCACATAATTCTGAGCCTCATTTGTGTGACTGTAGATTGAGGGTCACCATTGCACAGACCACAAAGAATAGACTTTTATGAAAAAAAAACATGGCGGGTGGAGTCATAGCTCAGGTGGTAGAGTGCCAGCCAGTGAGTGAGAGCAAATGTCAGTGAGTTCGAGTCTTGGTCTTGGATCAAAAAACCCCAAACTAAACCAAATCATGGAATTCTGTTTTTTGTTTTTGTTTTTCTTTTTCCTTCCTTCCTTCCTTCCTTCCTTCCTTCCTTCCTTCCTTCCTTTCCTTCTTACCAGTCCTGGGGCTTGGACTCAAAGCCTGGTCGCATTCCCTGAGCTTCTTTTGCTCAAGCCTAGTGCTCTAACCACTTGAGCCACAGCACCACTTCCAGATTTTTCTGTTTATGTGGTACTGAGGAATCGAACCCAGGGCTTCATGCATGCCAGGCAAGCACTCTACCACTGAGCCACCTTTCCAGCCCCAAATCATGGGATTTTTATAATGATGTATAAAGACGATCTACAGAATTTGTATATTTTTGAATTGTCAAAAGTTAAGAAACCCACCTGGACAGCCGCAGAGCAGTGACTCATTCCTCTAATCCTAGCTACTCTGAAGTCAGAGATCCGAGGATCATGTTTCAAAGCTAACCCGGGCAAGTAAGTCCCTGACACTCTTATTTTCAGTTAACCAGAGAAAAGCCAGAGTGTAGCTGTGGCTCAAATGGAAGAGCACCAACCTTGAGTGAATAAACTCAAGGACAGTGTCCAGACCCTGAGTTCAAGCCCCAGTACCAGCACACACGCACACAAATGCAAATGACATGACAACTCTTACCTTGTATTTCAAACATGACTTTTGGATTATTTTGGGCAATACTATGAAGTCAAGGATTGTAGTAGTGATTTTATGTCACAGAATCCCACATCACCCCTTCTTGAGTAGAAAGCAATATTAAATTTTCTGGAGATCACTGGGGCTATCTCCCCAATATTTATGAAAAGTTTTGGGGGCCATGCACCACCTCCCATCCTAGTTAATCAGGAGGCTGAGATTTGAGGATAGTGGTTCAAAGCCAGTCTGGCAGAGAATTCCCCATGAGACTCTTATCTTCAATTAACCACTCAAAAACCAGAAGTGGTGCTGTGGCTCAAAGTGGTAGAGCACTAACCTTGAGCAAAAGAGCTCAGGGACAGCAAGCAGGCCCTGAGTTCAAGCCCTATGACTGACAAAAAAAAAAAGAGTTTGTGGGGGCACTGAGGAGAGCTAACCAACAGTGGCTCACCTGCCTTTGACTTTGGAGAAAACTTTAAATTGAGGGTTGAGATGAGGTGTTGGGAATTGATAGCTACAAGTGCTCATGGGAAATTATTAATACACATTGACTCGCCTGAAAATCACCCAGGTGTCTTGGGAGCAGAATGTCAGGAAGAAAAAAAATTGCTTTGTGTGCAAAGCAAAGTCCCATAGGGAAAGGCTGTATTCCAGACTGGATTAACACGAGAGAGAGAGATGTATCTAAAGAACACATTCACATCCCCTGCCCCAGCCCCTTGGATTGGACAGGACACAGCTGTTTCCTCCGAAGTCCACATCTGGCTAGGGGACGGATGCGTGGCCATTTCTTGCTGGCCTGTTTCATTGCTTCACTTTTTTAAAAAAAGTCTCCATCATTGACAATCCAAGGAGGAATTAGCGTTTCCAGGCTGAGACTTCATCCGAAACAACTCACCCAGGTGAGAATCTGTGGAGGGGTTTTGAGAGGTGGACGCCGGAAACATTTGTCTATGGTGGCACAATGTGTTTCAACACCCTTTCCAGAGCTGAGAGGCGACTGTGACTGGCTCACGTGTTTGATTACTAGGTTGATGTGTTTATCACCAGGTTGGACAGGGAAGTAGACCTAGAACTCAGCAAGGTCAAGTTTGATAGGAAAGAGACAGCAAAGCCAGCGCCTGGTGGGAGAGAATTGAGAGGAAGATAGTGATTTTCCTCTAATCCAAGTTTTCAAGGACCTTAGCTGCCAATTAAGAAAAGTTACCAAGGGGTGTTGCTCGTGAAGAGCGAAACAATGAAGTGATTTCTGACACAGGTGACCATATTGATTTGCATATTGTCCATTTTCTCCAGGGATCATTCTTTCCAGCTTATTATCAGAAAATTTCCAGTGGTTTCTTTATGATTGAAAGTGCCTAGCAATTAAACATTTCACATTGCAAAATACTTTTTGTATTGTCTTGCTCACTCAAGATTATTATTATTGTTTTGGTCCACATTTTTAAATTTGGTGCTTCCTTAATGGCTTCTTTAAAATGTGCCAGTTAACTTCCAGAATGAGATCTTCACTTCATCTCAGATTCTTTTTTTTTTTTTTCTAAAAAAAAATTATCTTTTTTTTTTTTGTCAGTCGTGGGTCTTGAACTCTGAGCTTGGGCGCTGTCCCTCTTCAGCTCTTCAGCTCAAGGCGAGAGCTCTACCACTTGAGCCTCAGTGGACTTCTGGTTTTCTAATGGTTTATTGGAGATAAGAGTTTCATAGCCTTTCCTGCCCAGGCTGGCTTTGAACTGTGATCCTCAGATCTCAGCCTCCTGAGTAGTTGGATTATAGGTGTGAGCCACTGGGGCCTGGTTAAAAAATTATCTTTAAGTAGTTGTACAAAGGGGTTTCAATTCACCATGTCAGTTTGCCGGTGCAATGCATCTCCAATATTACCACTTCTTCCTCCCCAATCTTCCCCACCCATTCCCTCAATTTCCCTAATTCTATTTCTTTTCTATTTTTTATTGTTTAGAGGTGATAGATAGAGGGCTGCCTTTACAGATGCTGGATGATAAGCACATTTCTTCCTTTTGCTTAGGATCAGCTGTTCCCTCATTCTCTTTCATTCCCTCCCTCCCTTCTCCACCCATGCTAATTCTGTTTTCACATATACACACAGAATATTATGATTGTTTCCTCTCTTTGTTCATCTACCCTCCTCCCATTGACCTCATCTATCCTGATACCCCAGGTTCCAATTTCCTAGTATTCGTTTGGTTAGTCTGTAAGTTAGTTATTCAAAGTTATTCTTGCCTCTCTCTCTCTCTCTCTCTCTCTCTCTCTTTGTGTCTATATATGCATGGAACCCTGGGAGTTTTTCTAAAATATGTGCATCGATTCCCAATGTCATTTTCCCTGGGATGGAGAATCATTCGTCTCAGCTGTTATTTAACTCGGTGCTTTTCCATCTTAATTAGAATACAAACTCTAAGCTGGGAGAGATGGGCGAGAACAATGGGACAGGGGACACTGATCTAGATTCATTGCACCGCCAGGCACCGGTGGCTCACGCCTGTCATCCTAGCTACTCAGGAGGCTGAGCTCTGAGGATCGTGTTTGAAGCCAGCAGGGGCAGGAAAGTCTATAAGACTCTTATTTCCAACGAACCACCAAAAGCTGGAAGTGGAGCTGTGGCTCAATTGGTGGAGTACCAGCCTTGAGTTAAAAAAACCACAGAGACATGGCCCAGGCCCTGAGTTCAAGCCCCAGGACCTGCACTAAAAAAAAAAAAAGCCTTGTACTCACAAATCATTATAGTGAGTCAAAACCCCTTTGGGAAAAAACCTCGAAGATAGCAGAAATAAAATAAAACACAAAGAATACAAACTTACCCATGGTACATGCCTGTATGTACTGAGACTAGGGTATAGAAACAAACTTTATTTAGTCATAGATTAGTAGTATCTATTAAGTATGAATTATACACCCATTAGTGTTAGTATTAAATGTTAAATCTGTTTCTGGTGTTTATATTAGAGAATCATTCTCTATTATGTTCTTCTTTGTCTAGGTCATAGCCGACGATGTGAGTTTTCCATCTCGGGAGCATCGTATTTATTATTGGGACCGGAGGCCTCGTGGCCAGGACAGACAGTGACAGATGGAAATAGCCAAGAGATGCTTCGGCGTCCCCAGGGAGTCCTGTGGTTATCTAGGATGGAAACGCAACACGACCTGCTGAGCGACCCCTCGTGTCTTGAGGTCTCAGAGGTGACGGGCTGGGCTTTATCTCCACCACTCTCCATTCCTTGCTGTCTTCTCTTCTCCTTACCTTCCTTTTGGCCTTGGGGGTCTGAATGGAGACCCTTCCTTTGGTCTCTGCACTGGCCATGGCTCTTCCAGGTACAAACTTGTGTAGATAACTCTGTACCCTCCCTCCCCTGGTCTTTCTAGAACACCCAGTGCAAGTTAACTTGTCCTGTTCACATTCGTCTCCCGTGTATCCCTCTTCTTGCACCTGCCTCTCTCTGATAAGGTTGCGTGATCACTCAGTTACCTGGTCTTAGCTCTTTCCTTTTACTTGTACGTTTACACCCTGCACTCAGTTCTTTCTCCCTTTGTGTTTTTTCCTTCACGAAGGCACATCGAAACACATGGGACCAGAGAATGATTCCCGTGTTTCCGGATTTCTCCTTCTGGGAATTTCAGAAGACCCCAGGTTGCAGCCTGGTCTCTTTGGGTTGTTTCTGTCCATGTATCTGATCACAGTGCTCGGGAATCTGCTCATCATCCTGGCCACCGCCTCCGACCCCCGTCTGCACACGCCCATGTACTTCTTCCTCTCCAACCTGTCCTTCGTGGACGTCTGCTTCACCTCTACCACCGTCCCCAAGATGCTGCTCAACCTCCACACGCACAGCCAGGCCATCAGCTACGAAGAGTGCATCACCCAGACACATTTTTTTGTCCTCTTTTCCGGGTTGGACATCTTCCTGCTGACCGTGATGGCCTACGACCGCTTCGTGGCCATCTGTCACCCGCTGCGCTACACGGCCATCATGAGCCCCCGGCTGTGTGTGGGGCTGGTGCTGGGCTCCTGGCTCATCAACATCACCGATTCTCTTCTGCAGAGCTTCATGGTGCTGCGGCTGACCTTCTGCACCCACTTGGCAATCCCCCACTTCTTCTGCGAACTGAACCAGGTGGTCCACCTGGCCTGCTCGGACACCTTCCCCAACGACGTGGTGATCTACTTTGGCGTGCTGCTGCTGGTGTGCTTTCCCCTGGCGGGCATCCTGTATTCCTATTCCCAGATCGTGTCTTCCATCCGGGCCATCTCGTCGGCCGAGGGCAAGTACAAGGCCTTCTCCACCTGCGCATCTCACCTCTCCGTGGTCTCTTTATTCTACTGCACCGTCCTCGGGGTGTACCTCAGCTCTGCGGTGACCCAAAATTCTCACTCCATTGCCATCGCCTCGGTGATGTACAGCGTGGTCACCCCCATGCTGAACCCCTTCATCTACAGCCTGAGGAACCAAGATCTCAAGAGCGCCCTGAGAAGACTCTGTACCTGAAGCAAAACCCCTTGTGCGGGGACTGGAGCAGTGGTGGCCGGAGGCCGGATGTGGGATCTCTCATTCATTTATGTGGTTTTTCATTTGACGGTAGAAGTTGTCCCATTCTATGACGTTCCTGGAGTTTCTCTGTTTTCGGCTTCTCTCTGCAATTCAGCTGCAGTACTTTCTCAATTAAACTGTATCCCATGTCTGGGTTCTGAGTCTGTCCGTGGGACCATTCCCCAATCTTTCCAAAGGTTCTTTTGAATCACATACACCTGGAATTCCTTCTTCATCCTGCAAGCTTGGTGTTTACAAATAACTTCATTTCAAATAAGATAGATTATGCAAAACAACTTCATTAATGAGAGTCATCAGATGTTCCAATTTATGTGTGAAATTTAGTTTGGAAACTAAAGTCCCATGTAATCTTTTTTTGGGGGAAAGAGGGGTGGTTGGTTATGGGTCTTGAACTCAGGGCTTGGGTGCTGTCCCTGAGTTTTTTCACCCAAGGCAAGCACTGTATCACTTTGAGCCACAGCACCACTTCCGGTTTTCTAGTGGTTTACTGGAGATAAGTTGCATGGGCTTTCCTGCCCAGGCTGGCTTTGAACTGCGATCCTCAGATCTCAGGCTCCCAAGCAGCTAGGATGACAGGCGTGAGCCGCTGGTGCCCGGCCCCCATGTAGTCTTTTAGTTGGGAAAGTACCTGAGTTGTCACTTGTGGCTTTCTTTCATGGACTTCCGATGGAGGACCGTGTCTTCTCAGTGTGGTGCGCCCTGGCTGGGGAGCAGGTTTTATTCTCATATTTAAAATTCTCCTCCATCCTGGCTCAGTGTTCTCACTGTGCCACATTTCACCAGGCAATTCAACACCCAAAGGTATCTGCTGAAGCATCTTTCTTTAATCCTTACTTTTGTGCCAATCCTGGAGCCTAAACTCAGGGCCAGGTAGACTTGATGAGCTTTTCAGCTTGAGGCTGGCACTCTACCACTTGGGCCACAGCTCCAGTTCCAGCTTTTTTGGTGGTGAGTTAGAGATAAGAGTCTAACAGATTTCCCTGCTCTGACGGGCTTCAAATTGTGATCCTCAGATCCCAGCCTCCTGAGTAGCTAGAGTTGCGGGTGTGAGCTATTGGTGCCCAGCTTTTCGTTTCCTCTTGAACTCCTTTTTCACTTTCCCTCACATAGCCATATAACTGCATTATCTGTCGTTTACTTAGAATTCCCTTAGCAAGATTTCTTCAATCATAGGCAGACTAGCCCGTGGGATTTTTAAGTACATGCACCGAAGGGAACCACCATTGGAGAAACCCAACAAAATCCCTGGAGGCAAAGCGCACACAGCACTATAACTCTGAAGGATCTGAGCTGTGGAGTGAGGGCCCAGTGATTTCTGATTTTTTTAACACACAAATGCATGTGCAACAAATCCACAAGTACGACAGGTACAGTGTGCAGGAAGATGCGCTGTGCCTGTACACCATCCTGGACAAGCAAGCGAGTTGCTTTCGCCTCTGGTGTTTATTTTTCAGATTGATGTGGGAAGGTTGGATCATGAAATATGCAGATTTAGGGTGATGGGAAAGGTTGGCATCTGTAGGAAGGGCTGCAGCGGAGAGGCCGAGGCTCACAGAGAGAGGTAGAGATGGAAATCTGATCTACACATGAGACTTCACACAACCCAATGTCTCCTCCCCACTATGCGGCACAAACACAAGAACCTCACACTTTCTGTCTTCTCGAAGTTCCGAAGCTTCCAGATCTGAAAAGCTTATCAATGACACCAAGGCCTCCTCTATGACCATTATCTTAGGTGGTATTATTCTTTTTCTCTTTCCCTACAATTCTCTTATTCACAGACCACCACCTCCTTCTCCTCCTCCTCCTCCTCCTCCT